TATTTCTACCAGGTCTTAGTGGATCGGATCATGTTGAGCGGGTCTAAGAGACCTTCTAAGGACTTTACTTTCAAAGCGTTTGGAGATTCGTCTGTATGACGTAAAAGGTCACTGGTTCTAGGGGTTAAATATTTGAACAAGCAAAAAGAGCTTGTTTAAGAGTAAACAAAAATACTCTGAGACCACCAGTACAAAGAGGGTGACAGTCCTGTTTTGATCAATGAGATCACAGTTATTGTGCCTTTCTCTTTTAGTTGAGGGTGTTTGAAATCTCTTTTAAGGTTTCAAGCTTGCTTCTGTAAAGGAGTTGTAATTTTATCTTTGCCCGACTGATGTATTTAACTGAGATAGCTATCGTCAGTTTGGACGTCACAGAAAACGAAAGTTCTGTTTGCCCTTTTGAGCAACCGTTATCCTCAGCTGCTATGATGTTGGGGGTTCTTCCTTTAATGCTCTGTTTAAACCATCCCCGTTTTAACAGGGCATATTTTAATTTGAAATTCTTGAAGGAGCTTTGTTTTACTTACTCTTCGTCTAATTGGCTTTTTTTTCTGTGGGAGATTCACTCTGAATTTGAGATCCACCAGTCCGTAGACGTGAATGATAATATCCTATTCCGTGAACTGCCATTAACCTCGCTCTTTGTTTTCCTTTTTGAAAACCCACTACTTTATAAGCGAAGCGTGCACACATTGGATAGGCGCCCAAACAAAAGGCAAAGGTCCTGACTCTCCTTGGTCGAGTGTGTGCAGCACCTTTTGCCCCGTTGCCCTTCTTTTGACTTCATGTAGACCACCATCATCCTCATCAATAATTTATTTATAGAGGCACCAGTCGTCTATGTCCAACTTCTCTTTTTGGCCCTTCATATGGAGTCAAATGGTGCGCGCTAGAGCTTATCGGGAGAACGTCAAAGTGGACGATCTAAGATATTGTAATACATGTACAAATCTATGGTCCAGCCCCTTTGATAAACCTTACGTGTGTAGTTGAGCATAGGACTCAAGCTAAGCAAAATTATTGTCCTTTTCAAAAGGATTAGGTTCAGACCCCTCTACCGTTCTTTTCTTTATGTGTATATACGTACTGTGAATGGAGAGGGGGCGGGGGTAAAAAGAAATGTGTGCAATAGATATTGTTGTATAAGACCCAATATCCAAGAAAGGGGCTTTTCTGAGCCATAGAATAGAAACGTTACTTATGTTTGAATAGGGAAGGCCCAAGTGAGTTCATGATAGGTACCTTGCCTGTCGATTACTTCCCTCATTGTGGGCTCAGCTTTTGAAGCTGTTGTTGATGTTGTGTTAAGTTAATACTGTTTGAGTTGCTGTTGTTGTCGTTGTTATTTGTTTGTTTGTTTGTCTGTTTGTTTGTTTGTTTGTTTGTGTGTGTGTTTGTTTTGCTATTGTTGTTGTTGTTACAACTTTCTAAGATAGTGATGTCGACGCTAGAAGAGTTGTTGCTACTGAATTCATCGAAACAATTGATATAATAATATAAGAAAAGACAGTCCTCAATCGATTTTGCACCCTCCATTAGGCGCGAGAACTAAGTGGCCACAAGGACGACAGTAGGTTGTCAAACAAAGCTGTTGATGAATAGTTGTAGGAACCGAATGGCCTACCCGAGAGATGAGCGCTCCGTCACGAAACGCGTTAGCGAATGGAGCAGTGCCATAATTTGTCAAAAGAAGACCACCGCTGCAACTCTCTTCTAGACAAAGTCCCTGTGAGGCAGCGTGGTGGAATCAGGCTCTCGTCAATTTTTGGGCATGTAGACTTTATTTGGATGAAAAAAATATCCGTTTATTTTGAATACTAGTCGAGATATTTGCGAATGAAGGAGGTGGGGTCACCTGTTTTCAGGGGTAAAATTAGTGAGAAAATGGCCACCAAAGATGAGTTATTTCCTAAGCTTAAGATTCCGTGGCAACTGAAAATTTACTTTTAGTGTACCTTTAATCAACGTTTTTCAGAAAAACCCACACAGAAATGAGTTCTTTAATGGGCTTGAAAGGTGTTGAACCAAAAAACAAAAATTTGATAAAAATTCACAAACCTGCAGAAAAATGTAAGTTTTTTCACTTTGATTATTTTGACGAGAGCCTGATTCCACCACGCTGCCTCATCTATAGCACTTGCGGCAAACGTGAGAGGCGCCTCATAAATAGATAATAGCACTGTCGATGACTATTTGGCTAAGTCCTCATTTTCTTTGACTCGGCAGGAGTGCTTCTTTGTTTCGTACCCCTCTTTGTCCACATTCGTGACATACTACGGGAGGACTGAAACTGTACCTGTTAGTAGAAGTTCGTTTTGTTTTGCTAGGTGTTTGTGTTTATTTGTTTCTTTTCTTTGGTAAAAAATTTTCTTTTTTTGTGTTATGTGCTCCTAAACTGGGTCATAGGGTTGACATCGGATGGTTTATTTGAACGTTTTTTTTTAGTTAATGCTTGTTTCAGCTTTTTATAGGAAGCGTGAAGTGGTATGTGCGTGAATGCAAAAGTGTCCATGTGAGTCCGTGCGTGCACGCAGGTGTGTGTGTGTGTGTATGTGTGTGTGTGTGTGTGTTTTACCAAGTTTTGGCGGCCATTTTTTCGCTAATGTTTCCTCTTAAATCAGGTAAACCCCACCTCCTTCAATCCAAAATATATCCACTTCTATTGAAGATGGATGGGTAATTTTTTCATTTAAAGCAAGACAAATGAACAAGCTTTAAGGTGATACCAATAACTCAATATGCCCAAAAATTGACGAGAGCCTCATTCCACCACGCTGCCTCACAAATGAAGGGGAAGAGGTTTATTTTTGCTCCATAAATATCAAACACAAGCCGCAAAAAGGTTTCTTCCTTTTCTTTTACTCCTACGTTGTTTTACGAAATCCCTCCGCTAACATACCCGTCTGTTAGTTATTTATTTGTGGCATCCCGCCTTTAGTCCTATCTGAAATAACCATCCTACCATCAGGGTTATTCTATTTATCTTGGGCCAACAAGGAAAACCCATTTCTGGATCATCAGCGAAACCAGTGGTAAAGCCCTTTAAAACCCCCCACATCAAGAAACCTACTAAAAATATGGAACAAAATTACTCTCTTGGGCATGCAACTAGGAGTGGTCTCAGTGTTTTTCTTAACCGTGTTTTATAAATCCTATACTTTTTAATGTCCACTTGGCCCGGGTGTATGGTGTGATCTTGGTGTCTGTGGAGTGGCGTGAGTCTGTGAGAAATCACACAATAAAGACTCAAAGGGTATCTTTCAGGTTACATACAACTAATTACTCAATTTCTTTTACCACTGTCCACGTCTTGATCGTGCTCTCTTTGTGTTGATGGATGTCTTTGTCATGATACTTTCTTTTCCCTGACCTCTCCTTCCTTTTTCTTTCTCTGGGTGATGTCTTTGTTTTGACCTCTACTTTCTTTGTATTAATGTCTTTGTTTTGACCTCTACTTTCTTTGTCTTAATGTCTTTGTTTTGACCTCTACTTTCTTTGTCTTAATGATTGTGTTTCTTTTGACCTCTGTTTTTTTTTTTCTCTCGATGTCTTTTAGACATAGGTGGGGCTAAAATAGCACCTACACATGGTTGGCTGGTGCCTCTATAAATATATTATTGATGGTCTATCTTTGTCTTGAGTTCCTTGGTCCAAAAATTTTCATAATGTTAGCTCTTTTTGTGGTGACTTTTTTGTACGTATGTGTCTATCTTGAAGTCTACTCTATTGTCCTGTTGTATAAAAAATGTGTCTTAATGTCAGCCTTCCCGTTTCTTTGTTCCTTTGCCTCAACGCCAATGTCTCAATTTCTGCAGCAGTCTTTGTCTTCATGCTTTTGTCTTGACCGGTTTATTTTATTTCCTGCATTCTCTATACTCTTTGGGCTTTGCGTCCCATCTCAAGGATCGCATTATCTTGTCTCTTTTCTAAGTCCCTTGTACTTGATCACCCTTTTGCTTTTTTATTGCTAGCTTCAGTATCCATGCAGCATTATAGTGGCGGTTTTATCTCACTTTTTGCAACGTGGTTTTTCTTCCCCTGTAATTTCATTGCATTTATTGTTTCTTTTCTTTTTTTCATTGAGGTGTCGGGGTTTTTGCTGTTTTTGTCGGAGGAGGGGGGGGG